TGCTTTCAGAGCGTTCGGGGTCGTTAGGGCCTTCGTTCTGGGTAGCGTTCGGTGTTTATTCAGGATGTTAAAAAGGATGGTTTTAGGGCTTATCATATGGGGGGAGGGGGTGTTCAAAGGCTATTCGGGGCCTTAGGGCTTTAAGGGGACAGGATTTGGTTGAGAGGTTTAGGGTGAGGGTTTGGATCTCAGGGTTAAGGGCTCAGAAGCTTAGGGGTTTCGGGTGTAGAGGCCTCGGGGTTTGCTAGACCCAAGATAACCTAGGTATAAAAAGGGAGTCCGGGTCCTAGTTTAAACCCTAAACCCTGAACCCTAAACCCTAAACCTAAACCCTAAACCCTAAACCCTAAACCCTAAACCCTAAACCCTAAACCCTAAACCCTAAAGGGGTTAGAGGCTTCGGGTTTTTAGGGTCAGAGCACCTTCTGCTGCATCTCGGCATCACCGCGCTGCACGGCGTTGAAGTCGAGCTCGGCCTCTTCGGGAATGGTGGTTTAGGGTTTAGGGCTTCGGGTTTAGGGGTTTAGGGCTTAGGGTTTAGGGTTTAGGGTTTAGGGTTAGGATTTAGGGTTTAGGGTTTAGGGTTTAGGGTTTAGGGCCCAAGAGTAACCTAGCAATAAAAAGGGTGCCCTTTTTGGTTTAGAGGGGCTCATAAGGGAACCTAGACCCTAAAACAAGGGAATACGGGCCTACTCTAGGTCCTATAGGGCTTAGGGTCAGAAGTTAGATCCGAAATGAACACCCAAGCCCCCGAAAGCGGAACGCCTGAGAGCCCTAAGCCCTAAACCCTAAACCCCAAACCCTAAACCCCATACCGCAAATCCTCAGCCCAATCAAGGCCTGGTTGTCACCAGCGACCATGGAGGAGGCGGCACCTTGATCGGGGGGGGGGGGGGGGGGGTGGTGTTCTAAACCATTTTGGGCTCTCTTATGTTATATAAAAGGTTTAGGGTTGAGGGTGGCTCTCTCATGTTATATAAAAGGTTTAGGGTTGAGGGTTTGGGGTTTAGGGTTTAGGGGTTTTGTAGGAACATAATTCAAATCGAACCCCAGGTGGTGGGTTTCTTGGAATGGACTTTTCGCGTGGAGGTTTATGCGCTCAGTAGGGGCGCCATGGTGCAATTGTGGCATGATTCCTGCAAAGGCTTCTGTAATCAAGACAGCCATGCACCTCCAAACGGGTTGCCGCCCCTAGCCCACACTTACTAAACCCCTCAACCCCAAACCCTAACCCTCAACCCCAAACCCTGAACCTCAACCTCTAAACCCTTAACCCTGAACCCCTCAACCACTAAACCCTACCCCTCAGCCCCCAAACCCTGAACCCCCAGCCCCCAAACCCTAAAGCCCACACCCCGAACCCTTAAACCCTAAAAACCCGAAACCCTAAAACCCCTAAACCTCAAAACCTTAAACCCTAAACCCCTAAACCCTAAACCCTAAACCCTAAACCCGAAACCCTAAACCCTAAACCCTGAACTCCGCAACTTGCTCATGGAGTGCTTGGGGCTTGAGACACTGCATCAAATTGAAAACTCCAAAGGCTTCAGGGTTTAGGGTCTAGGGTTTAGGGTTTAGGGTCTAGGGTCTAGGGTTTGGGTTTAGGGTCTAGGGTTTAGGGAGCTTCTATGATGAAAACTCCGAGGTTCTTCAGACAAAGGGCCCCAAGAAGAAGCCCTAGCTTAGCATCACTCCCCAACGCTGAGCCCGCGCCTCCCCCGACACCGATACGATAAGCAGGGCCGCCGATCTTCACGACAAGTTGACCTGCCTGTTTCCAGTTTAAGGCTTATAGTTCTTTAGGGATTGGGGTCCTAAACCCTAAACCCTAACCCCTATCGCCTAAACCCTAAACCCTAAACCCTAAACCCTAAACCCTAAACCCTAAACCCTAAACCCTAAACCCTAAACCCTAAACCCTAAACCCTAAACCCTACAGTGTTTAGGGCTCACGGGTTGAGAGGGGGTGCCTTCCGGGGATCAGGGATGCAGACGGTTCATTCAGCAGAGCCTTGGGGGGGGGGGGGGGGGGGGGGTTTTAGGGTTTAGGGTTTTTAGGGGGTTTAGGGTTTAGGGTTTAGGGTTTAGGGTTTAGGGTTTAGGGTTTAGGGTTTAGGGTTTAGGGTTTAGGGTTTAGGGTTTAGGGTTTAGGGTTACTGTATATAAACCCTTGTATACACTACACTACACACAATAAAGGCCCATGCCTCGGATCCCTATAAAGAAAGGTAAGGGACCAAACTAAGCGCCCCAACTCTAAACCCCCAACCCTAAACCCCTAACCCAAAACGCCGAAAACCCTCAACCCCAAACCCTAAACTCGAAACCCTAAACCCTAAACCCTAAACCCCTGAACCCTAAACCCTAAACCCGAAACCCTAAACCGTAAACTCTAAACCCTAAACCCTAAACCCTGAGCCCCTAACTCTTTCTGGGGTGCCACTGGCTCGGCCTCTGGCTCCTCCTTCACCAGATGGTTGTGGTCCATCTGCCCCAAGCCTGTAGGGCTTAGGGTTCCAATTTCGGGTGTAGGGTTCAGGGTTTAGGGTTTAGAGTTTAGGGTTTAGGGTGTAGGGTTGAGGGTTGAGGGTTTAGGGTTTAGGGTCTAGGGCTAGCTTTTAGGGCAGGAAACTGAACGCGGAGGTGAGGTCGATGGCCTGGGGTTTCAAGCAGTTCGGCCCACGACCCTAGACCCCAAACCCCAAATCCTAAACCCCAACCCCTAAACCCCAAACGCCAAGGGAGCCACCCAAGCCTCCTGAAAGCCTAACCCTAAACCCCAGGCCCCAAACAAACCCTAAACCCTAAACCCTGAACCCTAAAACTTAAACCCCAAACCCCCACACCCCCAAACCCTAAACCCTCAACCCTAAACCCTCAACCCTAAACCCTAAGCCCTAAACCCTAAACCCTAAACCCTAAACCCCAAGGGATGGACCTCCTGAAAGCATGATGGGCTTCACCCACTCGAAGCGCTCCCCGCTCTCAGGCATTCGCACGCCGCAGGACCTGGCACAAGGTCGGAGGGTTTGGGGTTTAGGTTTTCGGGGTTCAGTTCCTAATTTTAATACGGCTTTCACGCGGTTCCTTGTAAAGCCTATTAAAATGTAGTTCACTTCGTAATAAATCCTAGAGTTGGTGCGTTGGTTTCGTTCATTATATTCGCACGGCATTCATGCGTCTTTTCATTCCTTATAATCCCGTGTGAATATAATTCTCTTCACATGTACACCTTAAGACCCCAACACAGTTCATGCATTCATGATGTTACCGTGTGGTTGTTACTGCCTCAAAGGCCCTGGAATCCATCCCACCTGTCAGTCTTGCCCATGAATCCGCCCTTGAGACCCTAACTCTCTTACTTTTAGGTTTTCGGGGTTCAGGGGTTTAGGGTTTAGGGTTTAGGGGTTAGGGGTTTAGGGGTTTAGGGGTTTAGGCGGGTTTAGGCGGGTTTAGGGGTGGGGTTTAGGGTTTCGGGGTTTAGGGGTTCAGGGGTTGAGGGGTTTAGGGGTTTCGGGGTTTCGGGGTTTAGGGGTTTAGGGGTTTAGGGGTTTACGGGTTTACGGGTTTACGGGTTTACGGGTTTACGGGTTTAGGGGTTCAGGGGTTTAGGGGTTTAGGGGTTTAGGGGTTTAGGGGTTTAGGGGTTTAGGGGTTTAGGGGTTTAGGGGTTTAGGGGTTCAGGGGTTCAGGGGTTCAGGGGTTAAGGGTTTAGGGTTTGGCATGGACCCTCTCTAACCCTTGGAAACACCAGACCCTAAACCCACTGTGAGAACGCGATGTCTGCTCTTATAGCCAAGGGCGACTTTCAGAGATGAGACTGAGGACTCAGGGTTTAATCATGGGTTCCGCTACTACCCCCCTCTGTACTACCCCCCCCCCCGGGGTTCCCCCCATACTTTAGGCTATTTAAGGATAATTAAGCCTACTTAAGGCTATTTAAGAGGGGAACCTCGGTGGGCTAGTATAGAGGGGGATAGTAGGGAAACCCATGATTTTTAAGGGTTGCCGAGGGATTGGGTTCAGGCTTTGGGGCTTAAGGTTTAAGGTTTGGTCCTTGCGAATTAAACCCTAAACCCCAACCCTAAACCCTAAACCCTCCTTATTTAAGTGGTCTTACGATCTCTGGCGAGGGTTCAGGGTAAAGACCAGGAAGCCGAAAAGGCCTCAGGCCTGTTCCAGGTGCAGGGTGTAGTTGGGCTTCAAAAAAGGGTGCAGGGTTTAGGGTTTTAGGGTTTGGGGTTTGGGGTTTGGGGTTTGAGGTTTGGGGTTTGGGGTTTGGGTTTGGGTTTCGGATTCTTGCCGTTAGGGTTTAGGGCAGTTTTAGGTTCTCGGGTTTGGCCCTGAAGCTTTTCAACCGGGCGCCGCGCGGTCGGCCTGTCCCACCGGTTTCTGGAGAGCTGTAGCTGACATCTAAAACTTAGGTCTAAGGGCTTAGGGCTTAGGGCTTAGGGCCTAGGGCCTAGGGTTTAGGATTTAGGGTTTTAGGGTTTAGGGTTTAGGGTTTAGGGTTTAGGGTTTAGGGTTTAGGGTTTAGGGTTTAGGGTTTAGGGTTTAGGGTTTAGGACTCAAAACCTCCCCGTTTGTTTGTCTCATCGCATTTACGAGGGAGCCAAAAAAAGGGCAACATTAGCCTTACACCGAAAACCCTAAGATGCCCCTTTTTGAGCAAAGCAACAGACCTCCAGTTCTACACCTGAAGACCTGACACAGCCGTGAGCCCACAGCCCACAGCTGCAGGTCGCTTCAGGCTCAGTGCTTGGGGTTGAAGCTTTAGGGCCGAGCTTTCTCCCCAAGGAGAAGCAACTACCCTTAACTAGGGAAGGACCTTGAAACTGTTACAAGCTAGGTCGGGTCCGGGGTCGAGGGTCTTATAAGCTTTCTGGGGTGAAGGGTACGTCTCTGGCGAACCCTTACAACCTAAATGTTTATGGGTTTAGGATTCCCGGAACCCTGACCCCTCCGAACCCTGAGCTCTAGATCCTAGACCGTCCTAGACCCTATGCATCTTCCAGCAGCGGGCGGCGCAGCGTGGACGCGCGGCCGGCGCCCTGCAAAGACATCCAGGCTCATTACAGGCCCCAAGAACGCCTAAACCCTCCCTCCCCTAGAGCCTCGGCCTGCCCTAAACCCTAAACCCTAAACCCTAAACCCTAAACCCTAAACCCTAAACCCTAAACCCTACTGAAACCCCTAAGACCCTAAAGCCGTAAGGCATGGACTCTGAAGCCCGAGAAGGAAGTTCAAAACCCTACCCTTGTGACTTAGTAAGGTTAGTAAGGTGGGTCATGGGGATCATTACCGGGGTTCTAGGGGATGCTAAGTAGACTTACGAAGTCAAAGGAGCTTCCAAGTACTACTCAAGAAGAGAAGACAACTGGGGATAAAGACGGCCCTTCCCAAATCTCCTCCAGAGTCTTGTGGTTCAAGATTGGGCTCCCCAAAAAGAAAGGGGTCACGATTTTGGTGTAAGACTTTAGCTACACTAGGTCTGGATAAGGCCATCCCTTATTCGAATACTGACGTTGTCATAAGGAAGGCCAATTTCCGTTGGCCTGTCCAGGACAAACGGTGGGGCTTAACCCTCACCTTTCCGTTTCTCTTTCGGCGGGTCGGCCGAGCCTTCGGGGTTTGTCGCTCGACGGAAGCGACCCTCACCTAGTTTAGGGTAGGGGGTTAGGGGGTTAGGGTGTTAGGGTGTTAGGGTGCTAGGGTGTTAGGGTGTTAGGGTGTTAGGGTGTTAGGGTGTTAGGGTGTTAGGGTGTTAGGGTCTTAGGGTGTTAGGGTGTTAGGGTGTTAAGGTGTTGGGGTTTAGGGTTTAGGGTTTAGGGTTTAGAGTTTAGGGTTTAAGGCTAGGAGTTGAATCTCCAACTCGAAGTTGAAATTCCCGGGCGTCAGGCGCCTGGTCCTTGAGGTCTGCCAGGGCCCGAATCTGTGACGTCAACGCGCCGCCCGTGCTCAGCATGTACCTTGCTTAGGAATTAGGGTTTAGGGTTTAGGGCTTGTGAGGTGGGTTTAGGGTTTAGGGTTTAGGGTTTAGGGTTTGGGGTTTGGGGTTTGGGGTTTGGGGTTAGGGTTTAGGGTTTAGGGTGCTCCTTCATAGGGATTCTCGTGCCCCCATTCTAATCCCTATTAAGGGCTATGAGTTTCAGGGGGAACATCCCAACCTGGGCATTCCGAACCCTGAGCCCTAAACCCCCCCAAAACCCTAAACCCGAACCCCCTAAACCCTTGAGGGGGCCTCGGATTTAGGTGGGCTTGGGGGGTGACCCTAAACCCTAAACCCTAAACCCTAAACCCTAAACCCTCTCTACCATATATATTTAAACCTTAATTGTATTTTCAAAATTTGGCCGCTTTATTTTCAGAATTTGGCCGCTTTATTTTCAGAATTTGGCCGCTTTATTTTCAGAATTTGGCCGCTTTATTTTCAGAATGAGCCAAAATCAGGCCAAAGGCTAATTGAATTTCAGAATTTGGCCGCTTTATTTTCAGAATTTGGCCGCTTTATTTTCAGAATTTGGCCGCTTTATTTTATTGGCCGCTTCAGAATTTGGCCGCTTTATTTTCAGAATTTGGCCGCTTTATTTTCAGAATTTGGCCGCTTTATTTTCAGAATTTGGCCGTTTTATTTTCAGAATTTGGCCGCTTTATTTTCAGAATTTGGCCGTTTTATTTTCAGAATTTGGCCGCTTTATTTTCAGAATTTGGCCGCTTTATTTTCAGAATTTGGCCGCTTTATTTTCAGAATTTGGCCGTTTTTGGCTTTCTCAATGTAGTGGGATTCTCTGGGTGGGTGGGTGTTGTATCCGAGCCGTAAATAAAGCTTAACCATAAAGCTGCTCGACCCGGAGTGCTGAACCCTAAACCCTAAACCCTAAACCCTAAACCCTAAACCCTAAACCCTAAACCCTAAACCGACTCTGTAGCCGAAGCGAAAATCAGCCGCCTGGCAAGCATGGGCTGCAGGTTCAGCAGCTTGGTCAGACGGTCCTCCTCCTTGTCGATTTCGTAGGTGAGGTCCTGAGGGCTGGAGGCCCAGCCTCCCTAACCCTAAACCCTAAACCCTAAACCCTAAACCCTAAACCCTAAACCCTAAACCCTAAAAATTCCAAAGCCCTGTTCCCTTTAGCCTGGAACAACCCCCAAAGCCCTAAATCCCCTAGACCCTCATCCCCTAATCAGGCCCCCGAATCCTCTAAACCCTGAACCCTCAACCTGAGGACACACCAAGGCTTAAGAGGGTTTAGGGCCTGCCCTAAACCCTAAACCCTAAACCCCAAACCCCAGACCCTAAACCCTAAACCCTTGAGTCTTTCGGGTTCCTTCGAGGTTTTGTGGAAGAACTTCTCCTGGGCTTCCTGCTCGCGTGCAAGGCTCCTCCACGTCGGCCAAGGTTCAGGGTTCAGGGTACAGGGCAACCCTAAACCCTAAACCCTAAACCCTAAACCCTAAACCCTAAACCCTAAACCCTAAACCCTAAACCCTAAACCCTAAACCCTAAACCCTAAACCCAGTCTGGGTTGCCCTGGAAACCGCAGACCCTAAACCTCCTAGGTTTCCGAGGATTCGTGTGCCAAAGCTCACGGCCTCTGGGTGTTCTCACGCCAGGTGTCAACCAGCTGATACCTGTTGGACCCCGCGAGCTTCAGTGCCGGGGTTTAGGGCTTCGGGTTTAGGGTTGCTTCAACCTTCAGAAACAAAAAGAAAAACTACACAATGAGCCTGAATAAAGGCGCTAGAACACAAAAGCTACAAAAATGAATCCTAATCACTCGCGGGCTTAGGACAAGCACCCCATTCTGCTTCCCTCCAATCGAATCTTACTGAGGGGCTTGGAACGAAACCCATGTAAAGTTGTTCTGCGAGCCCCTTGATTCACACATATTTGCACCTTGCAACGCATGAAACCCCTAAACCCTAAACCCTAAACCCTAAACCCTAAACCCTAAACACCGTACTTCCAGAGAACCGCCCAACAGAAGACGCGGTGCCTCATCATGACCTCCGCCGCGGTGGTGGCTGCGTTGCCTGCGGCATCTACTTGACTAAGAGAAAGCAGGGCGTCCTTCTTCTGAAGGACCTGGTGCTCACAGGCCCGCCACTGCCTTTCAATGTCCCCGACTGCTTTTTGGTGCTGGCTCTGGTTGTCAAACTTCCGCTTCTTCAGGGTCTGTACTCTCTCTTGAGACTGCCGGACACTCTCTTCAGCAGACTGCTTCCACGACTGCGCCATGTACCAAGATGCGATCATCCATGCTAACAGGATCATCGCAGCTAAACAGGCGACAGCCAGTAACACCTCCTCTGTACCACCCAGAAATTTCTCGCACAAAGCCACGATGGAGGGGCCCAGGCAGACAGCCACAACTGTGAGCCCAATGAGCGCAATGATGATGACCACCGACTCCTCCACACGCATCTCGTGGCTGTCTCGCTGCATGGCGCACAAGTGGGAGGCTCGGCCCCTGCCAAGCTCTCTACTTGAGCCGCGGCTGCAGCACAGACATTTGTTTTCTGACTTCCTGAGCGTCCCTGGCCTGTGGTGTTCAAAGTGACCGTAACCCCTACTTGGAGGTTCATGGTACTTATTTACCAACTATAACTGCACTTGTAACTCACTTATAAGCCCCTTAAGTACAGCCATAAGTACAGTTATCATTGGTTAATATAAGTAGCATGAACCTCCAAGTACTGAACATAAGGATGCGAAAGTCTGCATTTTCATCATGGAGCAGTAAGTAACTCCTAAGCACGAGGAAAGGCTCAAACACGCAGAGTGACGACCTTGGCACTGAAACTTTCCCGTACTGGAAACCCTGCAAGCAATGGGCCACCCTACATGCCTTGCTCCAAGAAACAGGGGGGTTTTAGGGTTCAGGGTTTAGGGTTTAGGGTTTAGGGTTTCGGGTTTCGGGTTTAGGGTTTAGGGTTTAGTGCTTATTTAGGGATTAGGGTTTAGGGTTTCGGGTTTGGGGATCTTGAATTAGAAAGGTCTCGTTCCACTCTGAAGCCCTAAACCTGCACCAGTACCCTAAATCCTGAATCCTAAACAGTAATCCCTATATAAACCCCTAAACCCTAAGCCCCTTAACCCTAATTCCCTAAACCCCTAAACCCCTCAAACCTCTTAAACCCTCAACCCTAAACCCTAAACCTCTTAAACCCTAAACCCTAAACCCCCAAAACTGAAGGCCCTGCAGCTCGCAGTGCCAACCTGGTCCAGCCGCAGATCAGTGGCTCTCCGAACCTCCGCACCGTGCGCAAGGGCCCAGAGAGCCCAATGCCAGGTTTAGGGTTTAGGGTTTAGGGTTTAGGGTTTAGGGTTTAGGGTTTAGGGTTTAGGGTTTAGGGTTTAGGGTTTAGGGTTTAGGGTTTAGGGTTTAGGGTTTAGGGTTTAGGGTTTAGGGTTTAGGGATGTTTAGGGTTTAGGGATTCAGTATACACTGAATGAAGACGCCTTAAGTCACAACAAGGCGTCCCTCTGAAGGCCTAAGGCATCTTCCGTAACCAAGATGTGTTGGGCCGAGGGGAGCTCTTCACTTAAGGGTTTGGAGTTTAGGGTTTAGGGTTGAGGGATGAGAGTTGAGGGTTTAGGCTTTAGGGTTTAGGGCTAGCCCAATGTACCTTTGAAAAGAGGCCTCTACGTATGTACCCTGCTGCCTAGCACTTGAAGCTTCAAATCCTAAACCCTACGGCCCCTAAACCCTCAAACCCTAAACCCTAAACCCCTGAAACCCATAAACCCCTAACCCCTAAACCCCTAAACCCTAAACCGTAAATCCGGATGTGGGGGTTTGATCTCCAGGGATTCGGGAGCGCGCATATCTATCAACCCGGCACGAATTCGGCTCTTCGTCACCCGAACTCCCCGCGAAAGCCCTGCTCGGAATCTAGGGTTGGGGGCTTAGGGTATACTTAGAGGTTCATGGTACTTACTAACCACTTATAACTGTACTTGTAACCCTACTTACAATACCCCTAAAGGGCCTTATAGGGGTTATCCCAATAATAAGTAGGGTTATAAGCCCAGTTATAAGTGGTTAGTAAGTACCATGAACCTCCAAGTAGGGTTTATGATTGAGGATTTAGGGTTTACGGTTGAACCGCACAGACTCATCTCAGCACGGGCGCTTGTTGCCGTAGTCACTGGCACCGTTCGAGCAGTCAATGAGCACCTGCGACTTCGCCGCAAGCCAAGCTGAAGGGATGTTATATTAGTACGGAATAACCTTTAAACCCTAACAACCCTACGCCCTAAGCTCCGAATCCCTAAACCCTAAAACCAAAACCCTAAAACCCCGAACCCTAAACCCATAGATCAAAGATCGCGCCAAGTGCTGTGATTTAGGGTTTGGTTTTTGGGGCTTGGGGATTTGGAGTTTAGGGTTTAGGTTTTAGGGTTCACAAAACGTGCCCTGGCACAGTTTGAGGAAACATCCTCAAGTAAGGGTTGAGGGTTTAGGACCCTAAACCCTAAACCCTAAACCCCAAACCCTAAACCCTAAACCGTGGAGAAGCTTTGGGCACGATGAAAATGAAACAAGGCCCTACAGATCGCTCTCTAAGCCCCCGGAAAAGCCTCCAATAGGATCTACTAGACCCAAGGCAACAAGGGCACACCCTTGTTGGCTTAAAGGGGCTTATCAGGGAACCGAAACCCCCAAAAAATGGCATAAGGGCCTACTCTGGGTCCTGGTGACCCCTTACTTGAAGGTTCATGGTACTTACTAACCAATTACAACTGTACTTATAACCCCACTTATAATACCCCCAAAGGGCCTTATGGGGGTTAGCCCTATTATAAGTAGGGTTAGAAGCCCAGTTAGAAGTGGTTATTAAGTCCCATGAACCTCCAAGTAGGGTTTAGGCTTAGACCCCAAATAGTAGGATTCCTTTGTTGTAAGGCCCTCCAATAAGGTACCCCTAGTATCGTAAACCCCCTTATAAGCCCGCAACCAACAACCCTACCTCTTACCCAACCCTAAACCCAAACCCTACTTTCTCCAGGTCAAGGGCTGTTGGTTTGGTGTGGGAGATGACCTGCTCTTCAAGTCTGCAATTTGGCTCTCCTTGCCTTGCAAGCCTGGTTTAGGGTCTGGGGTTTAGGGTTTAGGGTTTAGGGTTTAGGGTTTAGGGTTTAGGGTTTAGGGTTTAGGGTTTAGGGTTTAGGGTTTAGGGTTTAGGGTTTAGGGTTTAGGGTTTAGGTTTAGGGTTTAGGGTTTATGGTTTAGGGTTTAGGGATTAGGGTTTAGGGTTTAGACTTCACAACTTTTGCAGCTCTTAAGTTTTGTCACTCGACTCTTCAAACTTTACTTTTTCCATGTGGGGAGGTGCCCGAAAATAGGGGGACCCTTCTTGGGGTTCCTCTACTGAGGATCATCGTATTTAAGAGTAAATAAGGGGTCCCCCCATCGTGGGAAACTCCCATGTGACTATCTCAGTTCTGGGTCTCTCCGGGGCAAGCGCCGAGTCTTAAAGGCCGTAAACTCTAAGCCCTAAACGCAAAACCCTAAACCCTAACACCATGGGGGGGGCTCTCTTGGAATGCCCCAGACCCAGATCTTTCCAGAAGGCCGATCTGAGAAATCTTCCACAAATCACATGGGGAGTCTTAGAGGTTTCAAGGCCCCACAAAACGCGCGGAACCAAAGGGGTGTAGGGGTTCACCGGTTTGGGGTGGGGGTTTGGGGGTTTGGGGGGTTTGGGGGGTTTGGGGGGTTTGGGGGGTTTGGGGGGTTTTGGGGGGTTTGGGGGGTTTGGGCTTTGGGTTTTTAGTCTAGCTAAACCCGTGGGGCCTGCAGAGGCGGCGCCATGTTGGAAGGATACTTGAAGTCTTTTGCTCCCAAGGCATGTCATAGCCTGCCAGTTGAGGGGCTGTTTAGGGTAGGGTTTAGGGTTTTGGGGTTTGGGGTTTGGGGTTTGGGGTTTGGGGTTTGGGGTTTGGGGTTCGGGGTTTGGGGTTTGGGGTTTGGGGTTTGGGGTTGAGGGTTGAGGGTGTGTAGGGGTTAGGGGTTAGGGGTTAGAGTGTGTAGGGTTCATTCGGCTCTAACCAGGGGTTTAGGGTTGCTTCGGGGCACTTTCTTGGATGTTCCCGGGTAGTTAGAAGTAGGGCTAGCAGTACCGTTGACAGGGTTGTAAGTATAGCTACCACACTTAGCCCGACTTCTAAGTACCCAGGAACCTCCAAGTAGGGTTTAGGGCTCAAGCGTGTAGAGCCCTAACCCTAAGCCCCAAACCCTAAACCCTAAACCCTATACCCTAAGCCCTAAGCCCTAAGCCCCAAGCCCCAAACCCTAAACCCTAAACCCTAAACCCTAAACCCTAAACCCTAAACCCTAAACCCTAAACCCTAAACCCTAAACCCTAAACCCTAAACCCTAGCCTCGCAAGCTTCGGTGCGCCTGGGATGTGCAGGTTGCCAACGGCATAGCCCGCCACCGCAGCCACGACCTGGGCCCCCTAAGCCCTCAACATCCCTAAAGGCTTTAGGGTTTAGGGTTGAGGGTTGAGGGTTTAGGGTTTAGGGTTTAGGGTTTAGGGTTTTGGGGTTTGGGGTTTAGGGTTTAGGGGGTCTAGGGTTTAGGGTTTAGGGTTTAGGGTTTAGGGTTTAGGGTTTAGGGTTTAGGGTTTAGGGTTAGGGTTTAGGTTTTAGGTTTTAGGTTTTAGGTTTTAGGGTTTAGGTTTTAGGGTTTAGGGTTTAGGGTTTAGGGTTTAGGGTTTAGGGTTTAGGGTTTAGGGTTTAGGGTTTAGGGTTTAGGGTTTAGGGTTTAGGGTTTAGGGTTAGGGTTTAGGGTTTAATTAGGGCTTAGGGTTCAGTGTTTAGCGGGGTTTAGGGCGCATCGGGTTCTTAAGTGAGGGGGGTCCAAGGGGAAAAGGAAGGGAGGTGTCATTAACCAAACGTTCCGCAGCATCCTGTGGCATGTGGTTTTCTGGGAACCTTCCCCTAAACCCTAAACCCTAAACCCTAAACCCTAAACCCTAGACCCTAAACCCTCTTGCTGAGAGCTCTGGGCTATGACACGCTTTTATTCCATTCGCAGTTGGCAACGCTCCACAGAGTTGCACGGCAACCTCATAGGAACACCCGCGTTCTTGGCTTTAGGTTTCAGCCTTCGGGGTTTCTACTAATTGCTTAAGAAACCCACCAAAAAAATATAAAAACAATTCCTTACCAGGGAAGTATAGGGATTGTTGTCTGTTTATTTTTCGGGGGCTCTTAAGCAAATGCGAGGTTCCAAGGCTATGGGGGGCTTTCGGCTGCTGTAGGGGTCTTATTGGGATGAGGCGTGAAGGCTCATAGTTCTTCACTTCAAGCTTTAAGGTTTAGGGTTTAGGGGTTTAGGGTTTAGGGTTTAGGGTTTAGGGTTTGGGGTTTAGGGTTTAGGGTTTAGGGTTTAGGGTTTAGGGTTTAGGGTTTCGGGTTTCGGGCTTCGGGCTTCG